TATAAAGTATGTAACATATGTTTTTGAACGTATTTAATAAACTAAGGAAAGTATTTTTAATATTCTGGTTGAATATCGTGTTTAATCTTTTAACTTTTGGAATTTGTTTAACTGATAGCTAATTTGTGTAGTATTGTTTTTTTATTTCCTTCAGGAAATCTCTTATTCGGATGTTACCGGTTGTTGAAACGATTAAGAATAAATGTAAATATGTTGTAATAAAAGATTGGCATGAAGTTGTATGTTTGTTTGCGAAATACGTGGAGGAAAAACGTCCGAAAATAAACATGTTTCTACGTCAAGTGAAGTTTTGAGCATGCGTACTTACGATCAATATGCTGATTCATTTCTCAGCTTTCGTTAAGCCTAATAAACATAAGTGTCATTAAAATACGTACCAGAGAAGTTTGATGGGGAACTGTGAGAAAGTGCAGAAGTTATGTTAAGTGTTCTCTTGCGTATAGCAATTTAGTAGATGCTAAAATTTCTTGAGAAACGATAAAATTGAATGAATATTATTCTGCATTTTATTATCATACAATTACCAGATACATAGAGCAAAAATTAGATAGAAATAAGAATACAGTTACAACTTATAAGTTACATAGATAAACTAATAAAGTACCGGTAAAATGTTTTAACTAAGTTTAAGCAATTTTTGTTGTTAGATTGTAACGTTAGAATTTAAAAGCAGAAAGCTTAATTCTTAAGTGACGCAATAACCATCAGGTATGAAACTTTTAAGTTGAAAGTTGAAGAAAGCAATTTAATTTTAATACTTCCAAACTAAAGACTTACGCTCTTACAGTAGACTAACAACAAAATAAATTATGTTTTTACTGTTAGTTTTTCACAGAGTTCTACGCAGAATGTAGGTATAGCAGTCAAACAAGTTCACTAAGTTTGACAGTGCCGTGTAATTGTAAAAATTTACAACACAAGTTCTATATTGAAATCACTTTTGATATATACATTCAGAAATAAGTATAGATGTTCAGTAAGCTTAACATTATTACAAGTAACCTTAATTTAGTAATCAGTAAACATTCTTAATTACAAAATATTTACATTTTCAAACCATTAATTTGTTTTAGCACTAGGCAACACTTGTGTGTAATTTGCATAATGAGAAACTGAAATATAAATGAATAACCTATAATAATTATTATGTTCATAGAGTAATTATTAATACAGCATGATAAAGAACAGATCCAGACATACTATCATCAGTCTGTACTTCAAGGATCATAGTGCTAAAACTGAGTTTGCCTGTTTTTAATATATGCTTAACATATGTCCATAAAGATGAGTTCCTGTGAAAATAATTTGTTTCTTCAAAAGCATTAACTTTTTATCTATTCAATGAATGCAAGCCAATAACTGGTGAGAATGTTTAACCACAGTGCATAATTTTTAGAAGTTTTGATAAGAAACTTGTTCCATTTTTGTCAGATTAAAATGATTGGATACAAGAAAATTGTGAATTCTGAGCTGGTTCAGTTGGCACTGGTTATCAGCCTTCTCCGATTAAATCCTGAATCTTATTTAGACTTAATGATGGACACTGTATCAGAAGTCCATGAAGTTTTTCTTGGTCAAAGTTCGGCATACACTCAGTCTCATTTTCACAGTGCCAGCAACAGACTGCATGGATATATCAATCCAAAAGCATTGGATATCAACAATATTCATACAGTTTCAACATTAATGGAACTGAATGCACTTGGTAGATATTGTAGGTTCCGTGAATTTCAGAATATTGTAATTACGTACGTAGCAAATACAGAAAACCTGGAACCTCACAATATGCTACAGCCAACTTCATCAGAGAGTCCTAATGTATTTCATGGTGAAAATTTAGGGGATTTCCAACCTGAATCACAGGATGGGATTGAGATACAAAGAAATGGATCCATTAATATTGATAATGTGGATCCAGTTCCTGAACAATTTAACAACACGAGTTTGGATACTGTCAGAAATCAAGATGCATTACCATCTACAGGTTCAGAGTTAACAGCTGAGGTACTGTTCTTTTTTGTTTTATCTGTTATGGTGGTTCATAATTTCATGTTTGTATGTGTTTATTTATTCTTTGGAAAGTATGTGGATAATAATAAATTGATAACAAAAGCATAATCATTTGAATGAAATTTTGCTTTTGGCTATTAATATGCAAATGCTTAGAGAAAGACTAGTTGCTGTTAATCTTATTAATATTATTTTTGTAAATTTTGGTATTTGTGTTCATAAAACTGTACTAACATGCCTTTGGTGCTATTGTTAATATCAGTATTGTATTCTAAATGTATTATTATTTTTTACATGTATAATATACTTACCCTTAACAAAGTAGTTATCTTTTTCTATCCCACTTACCCATGGTATATTCATATTTGCATCTTTGTTTACTTAAGTCTGGAGCCACCTTGTGGTAGACATACTGTATCTTTGAGCATATCAAAAAATAAGCTAATATGCTTTTTTTTTAATCCAGCTGGTTTTAAATTACTTCTCAACTCAAGCTGCTTGATCTCTAGAGTAATGTTTATAAAAAAGTATATACTGAAATATTATATACATTGATATATGTACAAGACAAATTACCTTCCATAACATGTTTGAATTTTGTTTTTGCAAAATGACTTGGTTTCCCATAGAAGTACATAAGAGCGTAATGGATCTAGCTGTTTCATTAGAGATTTATGTATTTTGCTGTTTTTACTTTCTTTTAGTTTTTTGTTGTGCTTTTTTCTTCCTTTTTGAATTTTTTTTATTAAGTTGCATTTTATAAGTTTTTGAAGTTTTCTGTATGAAAATAACAAGTTCATTTTTTTTCATTTCTATCAGAATTTTAAGGATTTAAATTTGTTTTAACATGGGTTAAATCATGATATTGATTCAAGGAAGCTACTGGACTTCTTTTGGAATATTGTTGTGTTCATGAAGGTCTTTCATATGCAAAAGTATAGCTGTAACTTATGTATTTTGTCTTTATCTGTGTTTGTTTGTCTGTATTTTCTCAAGTAGCCTGGCACAAAAAATATTCGGTTACTACCTGTTTTATATTATTTTTACCAGCATAATGTTTAGGTACACTTTATTGATGTCATTTGCTGTTGTTATATTTTTGTACTTTGTTTTTTTTTATTTGTGTTTGTATACAGTCAGTACCCCATGAAGAAAAAATCTCTTCATTTCTCTTCACCTTCTTCTATTTTCCTTTCCTCCTCCCTCTGTTCCACCTTATCTTTGGTGTCTTGATGAAGTTCTTTAAGTCTTTTGGCCAAGTACACCATCGAGAGGATTATTACTCTCGTGTTTTTGTGGTTGCCAAGAAGATTAATAGAGTCTGCCATCTGATTATTGACCTATCGTCTTTCAGCTGGTTTCTTATCATCCCTTGGTTCCATATGGAGGGTTTCATTTCTATCCAGTGGTTCCATTCATCAGGATTATAGATGACCAAGATGAATGTTTTGGACACCTTTTTTCCACTGTCCTATCACCATGTCTTCTAGATGTTTTCTTTCTTTTATCTATTGGGATTGGGTCTTCTGGTTCCGTACTCTTTCTTTTTGCAGTGCATCTGCTCCTTATGTCTTTATTCAAATCATTAGGGCATTCACCTGCCTTAATCATGGATTGAGGCTGAGGTTCCATTATTGTATGCATAATATGAATAATTAGCTTTTCCTCTCCCCCTTTTAAAATTGACTCCTCTAACACCTTCATTCTTCTGTGGGAGTCTGCTTAGCTGGGCTAGCTTGTCAAGCCTTCCAAGTTTTTTCTCACAGTTGGTACATCTGGACATATTTTTCCACTCCCACCTCATTTAAGAACAATGAAATGTCTTGTTACCTAGGTTTGTGCTTCTCTACTACACTGTGTACGTGAGGTTCTTTTGCCTTTTTGGAAACTCTGTCTTCCCTTGAACCACTCATTCATTCATTCAGGCCTCATTGGCACCTTTCTTAATGTACATTGTCCTTGAGTGTGTTCCTTCATTATCCCATTCTCAAGAATTTGTCTTGGTGGTTCAACCATGCCAACACCACTGTAGGCATCATTTTGCCATATCCTCGTTAGTTAACATTTTCCTTACCTGAAAATGTATTTGTAATAGATACTCACCTCGATACGCCTTCCCACCTGTCCTTCTCACTTCCAGTGCATTTTTTTTTTTACCTCATCTAAGAATGACATTTTTTTCGAATGCAAGTGCTTAAGGAGATTTACTGCACAAGAAGGTTGTGTCACCCTCCTATTGGTGGAGAGCTCTCATCACATGATGATGTCATCATGCTCTAGAACAGTTCATGTTAAACATGATTTTTAGGTGGGAGTTAGCTCAAGGCTAGTGGCATGCAAGTATAATAGGTAGGCACGAGAAATCAAGCTATTCTTTGTGCAGAGGTGAGTATCTATCGGAAATACATTTTCAGGTAAAGAAAATGTTGACTTTTGTTGGATGGTCAGTGTGGTTTCACTAGAGGAAAATATTGCCTTACTGAAAAGGTTACTGCTTATATAGATAAGTGTATGGGTTTGTATTTGTATTTTCATAAAACATTTCACAAAGTGCCACATAAAAGACATGTTAAAAATTATTTCTATATGTGTGGAGGATAGGTTAGCTCATTGGATAGGAAAGTGGTTAGATGAAAGAAAGCAAACAGTTGTTATAATTGGAGTTCAGTCATACTAGATTAATTTCACGAGTGGATTACCTTGGAGCCCATTGTTAGGACTTATTTTTTTTTATTTACATCATTGACATAGATGAAGGAATGGTCAATGGATTATTTAAGTCTGTTGATGGCATTAAAGTTTGAGGTTGTTACTAGCTGTGAGGAGGATGCCACTATATTTCAAAAGGATTTGGATTATTTGGTGAGGTGGAAAAGTAAATTGCAGTTGCCTTTGGATAAATTTAATACAAGTTAGTGCATATGGGATATCACAGTTTGATTTATAAGTATAATTTTGATGGGAATAACAGTGTTGTGGAAGAAAAAGATCTTGGTGTTTTGACTCATCAGTCTGTTAAGCTATCCAAGCATTATGCAGGTGCTAGTGGTAGGGCAAAAAGGATTTTAGGTTTTATCAACAGAAATATTGAATACAAGTTTATGTGAAATAGAAGTTATAAGACTTTCTTTGTGTCTTTGTGAACTTTCATGTTCAATATTTATCGATCCTGGTATCAGGCTGACTCTGCATGGCCACTGCTTTTTTATGCTCTGCTGTCCCATTCACTCAAAAACCATGGAAACTTTGTATAACTGGATTGTTGACCCAACAACATACAAAGGACTTTTAAGTCTCCACAAAGTAGCCAACCGTATACCTTGTATTTGACCTTATTAAGAAATTCGAGATTTGTATATGTTTTCTTCAAGTGAACTGAATGAGCAATAGGAACAGATGCATATATGTTACCATTGTGAAGGAGAACACCTTTTAGACTTCTTTTGGAGGAATCAATGAACAATCACCACTCACTTGGCTCATAGACTGCAGATCCTAGCATTGGTATTAATTCAGCAATATTGTTGCAATAAACCAGTGAATCTTCTTGTGAAAAGTATGGCATAAACTCTTTCTCACGATTTCTATACCAGTAAAATGATGTCCCTGAAGAAAGTAAGTTTTTTAGCCTGAAGTCTGGACCCCCAAATCTCTGAAGAATACTTTGGAAGGCCCAAATCTCTCACCAAATCCAGAAATGACACATCATGTGTCCTGTTAACAGTTTATATACTAGTGGTCTGTTTCTCATGAGTTTTAGAACAATCAATAAGACTCTCACACCTTGATTGGTGTAGAGAAATCTATAGCCAGTGGTTGTCAACATTTTAAGTAAAACGAAATGTGACCCAATTTCAATGAAAATGATTCACTTATGTAAAAGTACATATGACGTTTTGTGAAAAATCTGTACATGTTGGAGAAAAATGGATATCATTTTCAGATTCAGCATACAGGAATTACTGTAGAGCTTGTAAATATTTCAAGATAATAAAACCCATCGCAGGCTTGTGTTATTGGAGAATGAAAAAGAATCAATTGCAACTGTAATGAAAAAACAATACACACTCTGAACTAAAATCACTTCTTCTGATCCATGAATATTAACTTTTTTATGACCATCGTACTTCCAACATGAAAATACACAGATAGACAAGGAGAAAAAACAATTTTCCAAAGATAACCCAAAAAAGATTACATTTATAATCTTCTTACTATAATGGACATAGTCAGTATCTATGTATGTAATCAAAATTCCTGCTCCATCTATGAACGGCACCACAAATAAAAATTCATAAAAACTTTCACACTGGGTATTCAAGATTCAGACAATTAGAAAAATAACAGGTATTTTCAACAACCATTTCTTTATAAGAGAATAAAATTTTAAATAACGGGACTCTCCTCACAACTTCCACTAGGACTGTACATGGGGGTTTAATTATATCTTTATTGATGTAATTTTTAAATGTAGTATTGAGAAACTGGAGTTCTTAAAAAGAGTATTATTTTTTCAATAAACAGTACCCCTTTTTTATATATAAAAACATTACAGTTTATATAAGTAAAACTTATGAAAATTTTGAGCTTTGTACATTGAATCATTTTGATGCAATGAGTTGTATGACTAAAAGAGCACAATCTGAACACTTTTCCAGTACAGTACTTCCCAGAAAAAAAAATCCATTTTTAGAAAATGCTCACTTTTTCTATATGTTTTAAAGTGAGGTATGTATACTATGATTATTAATTACTAACACAAACAGCTGCCCATAGGGTGGCATTTATTCTAGTACCTCTAAATGAGGAAGCTATCTCCAAGAAAATAAGAACAATAATTGGAAATTTGAACTATCGATTAAAGTTATAGAATGGCCAGGTCCAAATTTAAAAAGCCAACTTTCAAAATCTCAGTACACTACCCTACAATGTAATAAAACACACTGTCTTACAAAAATGTGTTTGCAATATAAAGATGGGTGTCTTGTCTCCAATGTTTTCTATCATCTAATATGAAACATCTGCCTTCATAGGTCTGTACCATACATACGTACATAAGAGAACATAATGACTATTTATAAACAACAACATGAAAGAAGTACAGCTGAGGATAATTTTTTAACTAATTATGGACAAATAACACCTGACATGAAACCACCATTCTCTATACAAGTCCTCACCAAAGCCATCAAATACACTAACAGAAAATTCATAAAAGCACTTTTCATTGAACAACTATGACCACAGATGAATAGGGACAAAGGATGGTGCCTATAATTTTTATTATCATTATTTATTTATTCTTTCATCCTACCTTTTTGTTATTTCAATCTGTAACTTTGACAGAACTTTTGTTTGTCACAGGTAACAGTTAATTATTGCAACAATACTTTTCTTTCAGCAGTAAGTTTTCCTACATAATATGTCAAACACATGCTATAGATTTGATTAGAATTTATTATTTAAACCATTTGAAGCTTTATACCGTCTGTTACATTTTGTATTTTAGTGGACGCTTCTGAAAAAGTTGTAAAGTGGAACATTGAGTGTCTAATTAAAGAAAAACAACAATTTGGTGTGATAAAGTTGTTTATTATGTGACTGCATTTTTGTTTTGATTTGATGTAAATACATTATGACTGCAAAATGCAATGCGATACCTTTCAGTTGGAGTTATGATATCATAATGTAAACATTTTACAAGTGTTTCACACAGAAAACATTACATAGGTTTATGGAGAGCCTACAGTGATTCTTTTATTCATTTTTAATAAAGTTAGATGTTGGTATTATGCACTGCAATGTCAGATAGTAACTAACTTATGTAGAATTTTACTATCTGTCCATGTTACATTCATTCTGTGTGATTGTGAAGTAATTCACTATCACTTTGAGTTGAATTCTCATGCTGTTGTTTAAATGACAGTCAAAAGTTAAGTAGTTACAATTGTTTTATGTATAAGATGATTTTCTTTTCCAGAAAAATGTTTTATTGTGTAAAATTTTTAGCAGATCTTAAAAACTACCATCTGTAGCCACACAAAAAAAATCTATATACTTTTTCTTCCATGCAAACAAATAATTAAAAAAGTTAATTACAGAAGTCAACATTTGCAGGTGAATGCAATATGTCTGCCATGCAATCCTAACATGCCCAATTTTGACACCAAAAATTGTTTTATAAAACACAGAAAAATTGAAAACTGTCTGTAGCACTTCTTGAGTCCTGCAAAAAAAGGTATCTTTGTAACAAAATATGTGTAAGTTGGTGGACATAAACATGAAAATTTCAAGTTGTTCTTTCCTCACTGAAAAATTGAGCACACAACAAATATTCCAAAATTGTCTATATTTCTGTTTGGGACCTGTAAAAATTATCTTTGTTTCAAATCCCAAAATAGGCAAAGTAACTGTCAAAAAAAGCCCTAAACTTATGCTTTTAGTGTCATCTTGACAGCCTCTACTATTTTTGTTGTAAATGTGTGGGACCTGTAGAAAAGTATCAAAATACAGCAGAGTAATTGGCACAAACCCCCAAAATTATGCTTTTCTGTGAGCTCTGGACCCCCATCCCTCAAAAAAAAGAGACTCGAAATGAGCAAATCCCACTTCTTTGTATGTCAATGTATTGAGCACATAAAAATTTATATTTGAGCCAATTTTCATCTTGACTGTACAGGAGCCCAAAAGATACATTTTGAAGTTGTTTGACCTTTGACCCCATAAAATTCTTTTAAAGGCCAAAATCAAAGTATTGAAAAAAGGTGTTTGAGCTTATTGGGCTAACGTATAACCCTACCAAATTTAAGTCAAACCACTGAGAAACAAAGGAATGGTGGTTAATTGAAAAGTGTGGAAGAAGAAACAATAGAAAAACAGTATGTCTCTCTGTGGAAAGTTGTTTTACTAAGGGCAAATAAAATTGATAAGATTAGTGAATTGATGTGAAAAAAAATTCAGAATCAGTCAGAGATGAAGACATTTTACCATATTTTATATTTTTGTATATAAAAACTAATTTATTGCTATTTGTTTTTGGCAAGTATATAAAAACCTTGTTGGATCTCTTTTTTTTTGTGTGTGTGTGTTACTTTTTTTTTTTTGAAATTATGTTAGAGTTTTATGGAGACTTGTTGTAAGTATGAAAGTTATACAATTTCACAAAACAAATAAATAATGATACAAAAAGAATGGTATAGAACTTGCTAAAGACTGAGAACATTAGACATAATGATATAAAACTTTATACATTAAAGAGAAATGTCAGCTCATAATTTGAGATTTTGGGAAACAAAGAATGTTGAAAACAAACTTTTCTCATGGATCATGCAGAGAAAAAGAATTGTTGGTTGACTGCCTTTTTATATTTATATGTGTTCTGAACGGCAGCTTGAGTACTGTTATAATGGTATTATTGTACTACGATTACTCTGTATATGCACAATTAGTTGAAAGTTTTATGATTTACAACTTATTTTATAATTTTAATTGTCAGTGTATGTTAATCTTAAAAAGTAGAATTAGACAGTTTTTGCTAACACCATTGTAAGCGCTGGATAAAGTATTAATGACACAATCTTTGGCATTCTTTGCATAGTAGCGTTTTAATGTGTTAAATCCATGCATGCAGTGCAAGGATAGTTGAATTAAAAATAAAAATATACTTGTTAAGGAAACATAGATGAGATGTTAAGATCACAGTATACATCTTGAATATTTTTTGTACTATGTACAGAATATTTATAAAATTAGACAATGATACAGCATATCTTACAGGCTTTACAGATGTGTATCAGGTGGAACTACAGTACTACTCTCTAACCAAGGCACATTAAAAGTTTTTGAACATTAAATGAAATGGTTTTTATTAGAATTTTGATAGAGTTTTAAATGTAGTTCTAGGTAATGTAATCATGTTATTAAAGTGAGTGTGTTTATATAAAATAGCTGTAGTGCCCATTTTAATGTGTGTTCAAGAAAATTTTTACCAGGTAAAATAATTAAAATATGACATAATAGTAAAATTAATATAGGTACTTCCAGTCAGCTCTTTTAAAATCTGGTCTAAAATTGTTGTGACATAACTAGCGAGTAGTTACATTTCTGGCATAATTAAATGGTAAAAAGAATGGCACCACATATCTGTGACTTTGTCTCTCTTACCCTTCACCATTGTAATTTCCAATCAATTCAGGCATTCACAATTCTTAAGGAGTTACTAAGTCTAAGTTACCTGTATGTCATGGAAAGAAAAGGCATGAAATATTAACCTAATTATTAAGGACAATTGGTCTGAGCTTTAATAAAAGTCTACAAACTTGTTTTGTTTATGTTAGAGTTACAAACTGATGAAATGATGTGCCTGATGTGTTTAGATAAGGGGTGACGTTAAGGAGCTAAATGGCTTCTGTCACTTTGTCTTTTCTTAGGTTTGGTGTAGTCTTTCCACTGATGTGATAAATTTTTCTGTAGCTACACATCTGGAGCTGGCATAATGTCTAATAAAAGATATTTGTTACATCAAAAATATAAAGCAGTCAGTAAGATATTACATTTAATGTTTTAATTAAACCAATATTGTAAGCCACAATGGTATATATATATATAAATGTTATATTCATCATAATCCATAAGTTATACTTTTCCTTTAAGGTATAAAAAGTATAATATGTAAATAAAGGTAATATGAAAGGACCTTGTGTTTCTTTTTATTGTTTTTAATTATATTGCTAGAAAACACTCTTTGAAATGCAAAAATACTACTAAAATGAAAAATAGATTTAAATTGTTGCTTGCATCAGTGTTTTAGTTTCTATTTCCTTTTTTTTTTATGAAAAGCATGTGAAATATTCAAATACTATATTTATCTTAATAGTAGTGTCCAAAGAATGAGGGAGCATTTGATTGTATGTCAAATATGTAAGATCTTGCAAAGTACATGTACATTGTTTAGTAACTGTTTTTAATATTTTACTATTTGTTCATATGTATATATATAAAAGATTTTAATGGTTTTCTAATGCATTTTCTTGTCGTGTGAGTAAAACATCGATTATGTACATAACAGTACTTTTGTTTTCTTTAGGACATGGATCTGATTGAAGTTCTTTGGAAACAAGACATTGACCTTGGGATAAGCCGTGATGTCTTTGATGGGAAAGCACCCTTGGAAAATGACAAAGCTATTATACAGACTGAACTGTTAAAAAAACAGGAACTAGAAGTAAGTGCTGGATAATTGTTTAGTCTCAATTAGAGCCTTTTTTAGTAGTAGTAGTAAATGTGATGTTCAGTAACTGTCAGTACAGATCTAGAAGTTTTGGATATATGCAACTGTACATGTTTTTTTTATTATTATTATTAGTAGTAGTAGTAAATGTGATGGTCAGTAACTGTCGGTACAGATCTAGAAGTTTTGGATATATGCAACTGTACATGTATGTCTGAATGAAAGAATTTTGAAATACAAATTTCATCATTGGTATTATATATATATATATGTTTGCGTGTGTGTGTATATATTGTCTGATAATTGTTGGTGTTTATAGCATATATTGGTAACTGAATGGAATTTGAGTGTTATCGTTCATAAATTATGACAGTTTGTGTTTCCCTACATCTTGTAATTTTATAGATATATTTATGTTTTTATATATTTACTTTTTGCTTCTGTTTATGTTATATTTGGGCATGCATTTGTTTGTATATGCTTGGAAATTTCAAAATATGTTTACTTCCTCAGGTAAATGGCACAATGTAAGTCTTGATCGGAATTTGTTTTTATCTGTGTAGCTGTCATACATGTAATCATGGTTTGTCAACTGTTAGTTATTGGTTTGTATACATGATAAATTATTAATATATATTAGGCTATATTAATATCCTGGTATTTGTATGGTAATATTTTCTTTAATATTTAAATTTTGGTATTCAAATCACATAAATTTACATATGAAATACTAACAGCTTTTCCTTGTTGAGTTGCTATCCTGCTATGACCAACTCAAAGTTCTGAGTGTAATTGAGACAATGCAGAGTATACGTAAATTTACCCATAATATTCTGCTCTTCCACATGACTTACAATTTATGCATCGGTGATCTTGCATAAGCTCGACTTTCCTGCTATAATTTAGATTTTCTTGTAGACAGTCACCCAGTTAACTTCACTCACTATGAATTCTTATGTCAATGTTAATTACTGCTGCAAATGTTTTTACCAGTATTGAAAATTCTACAACTCAACCTTATCAGATGTAGAGAGGTAGATCTTCTCAACCAACTCAGTGACTCTCTTCTTTTTTTCGACAACTTTCTTATCTGGACTGTTTGGAATGGTTGTCTCAGATCATTGGTTTATCTTGTGGTCCTTGAGTTTGACATATCTTTCAGTATATTCTTAATGTCTTTCCCTCTTTCTTTCCAATCCAGTTGCTCACAAATTCTGGACCTGGAAGTCTCATTTCTCCTTCGGAAAGAAATAATTTATATAATCTGTAATGTTTCTCCAGGTTTTTACTCCTGTCTCTATGTTTCTGAGGATATCTAGAATTTGGAGACTTGTTTCAATTCATCTTTTTTTATAGACATCTCATTTTAAGATGGAATACATGAGGTTATTATGAAAGTTTTTGTCATGACTACTGGATGGTGTTAGTGGATATACAGTATTTCTTATCTATCATTTCTTTTGCTATCCATACATTTTCTTTTCAGTAGTCTTGTTTTCTCCTTTCATTTAACATTGACTTTTACATAGGAATCTGTCTTATTTTGACTCTTTAAACATATACTATTTTGCACATTCTGCCAGAATTATTTTAATTATGACCTAATAATTATTACCGTATCTTATAAGATTTAAATTCCAAAACATACATACCTCCGCTGACACTAATAGCTATTTCTTGATCTTCATCTTTGCCATCTAACATTGTGTTTGCTTACTCCAGTCTTTTATACCCCACTCAACTGCCCTCGGCAATGTCTAATTTGCAAAACTTTACGCCAGTAGTGGTCAGCAGTTGGGAGGGGCACTCTCTGTGGAATCTGTCCGTGACCTGCTTCGGGGTGAGATCGAATCTTTCATGTGGCCCGGGGATATTTCTTGAGAGGTGCTGGTTTGAATTTTCATTCTGAAACGGGATATTCTGGGAGAATTTAGACTACATGTTTCTTGCTTCTTTCACCTTCTGCCCCTTTTTTCTGCAGTTAGTTACACGTGTTTGTGAAGTTTTGGAGATGCAACCAGTTGCTTTTGAGTCTACTCTGTTTTGTTTTCTGATTGTTATCAAGGGAATTACTTAGTTTTTCTTTCTTCTCCTGATATTGCTGTCCATGCAGGGAGGTTTGCAACACAATTACGTGCATTGCACTGTATTTGAGCTGTTGAGCCTTGGCCTTGGAATAGCTTAAATCTTTATTTGGTTCTCTTTGAATGCTCACTGATTTGGTCACTTTTCTGACTCACTAGTATTTTCAGATGTTGATGAAGAGGGCCTAAATCCCAGGAATATGGCCACTGATAATTTTTGGCTGGTCTGCTCCCACAAGAATCTTCTACTACAGGTATGTGACATAGTATTCCCATTCCTCTACTTGTTTATTCTCCATCTATGTTTCCATCATTGGCTCCACAGATAAACACATTAGTGCCCTGACTGACTCCCCTTTGATATGAACTAAAGGGCATTGAGGACAAAGAGGTACTTTGCTGAGAATAATGCTTTCTTTCTGATTATCCTTAAGGGCAGTTATGATATAAGCCAGTTCACTCCACTAAATCTCACCCAAATCTAGTTCTTTGAATAATCATGGTTCTTTATCTACTTTTATTCTGCTTGACCACATCCTTAGTGTGGTCTAGGTTATAACCTTCCTGTCTTGTCCCTGAAATCCATTCCAACCCACATCTTTGTAAGCAGGCGATACAGAGTTTTTCATTAAAACTGCAGGTAAGAAATCTAAAATATGATTTGAAAGCAGAGCTTAAGTAAGTTCTACATGCATACACAATAAGTCATGTATTTGTGGAAGTTGATTTATGCATCAAGGACATTCAGAACTTTGAGTCACATGGTTGTTTGACAGCATGAGAATTAGTCAGAAAGGAAAAGTTTACAGTATTTCAGAGGTAAGTACCTTTATGAAATTCATTTTAATCCTAAAAATGTAAAATGTAGAAGAGTATGTTGTATCGTTATTGGTAACCTGTGATGAGATCTACTTGTGCATTTGTAAGCTGATCTATATGCTAAAATAGCATAAAGTGTATATTTGTGTTCATAATATTTTGAAGGACTTTAGTCTAGTATGCTCGAACTTTGTTTCAAATATTGAGTATTTTGGTTAGTAGCACATTTGTATTGAATTAAGAATATAGATATACAGTAATTTTGAGGGTGAAAATAAGATCGGGAAAATAAATATTATTCTGTAATATTTATAGTGAGGATTAAAATTTCACTGTTGTACTTAACTATAGGAAGACAAAAAAGCAATAAGTGATGAGCCATTGCCTTCTTCATGTAATCCTTGGGAAGGGATTACTTATAGTATTGATTCAGAGACTGGTAAGTAATGATAAGGTTGTTGGTGTTTGCCTATCTATTGACATCACTAAGAATTAAAAAATCTTAAAATGGCTTTGTTAGATATATTTTAATTTTAAGGCTTGATGTGTAATGATACATCTAAATAACACTGGATGTGTTGTGAACACATTACTGTCAACTGGTTCATTATGTTCTCTCAGTAAGAAGAGAGAGTAAAGTATTACAAATATGCTTTTTCTTTAGACAGGAACCAATGTATTCTGAGTGTCAGAGATAACATATTGGCTAGTTTAAAGCAACAATGTTTCGATAATTTTTGTGAAGTTCATTAGCCAAGCACCACACTTCATTTAAGTTATTCAAATTTTATATTAGATATGTTAATAAAAATTCTTATTAAGGTTTTAATGATTCTATAGATCAGGGTTAATGATGTTTCCCTGATGATGAAAATAAACTGCATGGTTACTTAAAGATCAATAAAATAGGAATTGTTATCTACAAGGTTTGTAACCAAGTTCCAATCATTCCCATGTAACAAAAGTTGTAAGTGAAGCTCTATTCATAAACTTCAAAAATCACCTGTCATATAAGACAGGTAAGTGTAAATAATAATATGTCTGAAAATAATATATCAGCCCAAACTTCAACTTTTGCCTATACAAAGAAAGTGTCTTCCTATGGGCAGTATAACTTAATTTTTATTAAAGTATTTCATATATAATTTAGGAAGTACATTAGGCAAGGTTAGAAGGACTATGAAATGCAACCTTTTTTGGTTTGAACTTTTCACTTTATCTATTAATTTCTTTTCTTTTGTTCTTTCTGCTGCATTTCATTTTATCTTGGGTTAAATACTTGTTCATGAGAGATAATTTAAGAAAGGCAGTTAATTTGTGGGAAACTGATGGGAGTCTAATTTTTATTGTATACAAGTTACTGTGGGAAGTACTGCTCTAGAGGTAGTTTAAGCCTTCATCTTTTGTATAAACAACAGTAAATTATTTGATGTGATAGAAAAAAATTATTATCATTTAACTCTTTTGCTATCGGCTCAGTTGATTCAACCTAAACCTTGACCTTTAGAGTCTTCATAAAATTTTGTAAGCTTTCAGTAAGCATTTAGTTATTTGTAAATAACAGAATCTTTTTAATGAAGTGTTTTCACAAAAAAATTATCCATGAATATATAGAGTCAGTGTTAACTTCTCCAAGTGCAAAGTGATTTTTGTGTTAAAATTAAAAATACTTACCTTCATCTTAAAAATATAAAATTTCATTCGTGTAATCTCTAAAATCTCCTAAATAAATTTCAGATGTTTTAACAGTAAAACTATATATTTTATCTGTTAACTTTCTCTACTCTAACTCTATACGAGGTTGGTCAATTTGACTGACCTTGTAACCACCAAACAAATTTTAAATAAATCTAAATTAGCTTCTTTTTACAATGGTTAGTTCTTAAGTTTATGGTCTATTGATGCTCTGTACAGTTGATTTTACTGCTTAGCATCTCTAAAAAACTTTATCTCTTATTAGGGAATTGTCATAACTTCTGGACATTTTTAACAGTATGCCAAGACATTGTCCATATCTAAGTGATCCATAATAGTTCCATTGGAGATCTGTTTTTAACTGTAATTTTACTATTTTATTTTATAAACCTTGATCTGTTGCTGCTGATTCACAATTTTTTAGGTAGTTTATTCACGTGGTTCAGTGGGTAATACTTGATTTTTCTGTGTTTTTATCACTGAATATTTTATGGTATTCATTGAATTTACTGGTTCAGACCTGACTACAAATTTTCTTTTTTAGGTGAACATGTCATTCTTAACTTGCAGTCTGGAAATGAAAGTACTAATCAGTTGAATTTTGAATCTGAGTCGCATGTTTTGGGTGAGGAATCTTTTCAACAGCTAACAGATGAACTGAATAGAATTCCTATAGATGAAGCTTTCAGACTATTTGACCAAGAGATACTTAACCAGACTGAACCTTTTAGTAGTCATGAGATTGCAGGTACTTATACAGAAGAATTGCCTGAAAACCCAGAAGACTTGATACAGGAGTTGAAACAATTCAATGAATTACTTCAGAATACGTCTGTAAATAATGAAAGTAATCAAGAGGTAAGAAAACTTGTTAATCCATGGTTAACATAAGCATGCAGTATTAGTGTATAAAATCACCATGTGAGAAGCTTTATGCACTTGCTGATTCTTTTAATTTCTCTACAAGTTGTTTGCCCCCCAGTGGCACAGTGGTATGTCTGCAGACTTTCAATGCTAGAATCTGTGTTTCATTACTCATGGTGGGCAGAGCACAGATAGCCCATTGTGTAGCTTTGTGCTTAATCACAAACAATCCAACTCTACAAGTTGTTAGTGATGTTTAATGTTCTATGACATTTTCTCAGTGTAATCATAATATAAAAAAGCATGTAATAAAAAAAACTACAAATGTAAATATGCAATATTAGAATAGAATATAACACTATAAGTATGGGAAAAAAAGAAACTTGTAGTTGTTCTTCCCCACATTTTGTTTAAATACGTCAAAGTTAATATTTGTGCAATAAAATATTTTACTTATTTAATTATATACATAGAAATGTTTAAACAAATTAGCATTTATGACTTTCCAGAACATTTCCAAGCATACTGTGGCACTCAATTCCCTCTAGGAGGAAAGTCAAAATAGTTTTGAACAAAATAGCACCTATTTAAACCTTGTAACTTCTATATTAGTGTAGTTTTATTGATTTTAGCCAATTACTGTTTCTCAGTGTCGGTTGGTGTGGTGTGATGTCGACTGTATCTAAGCTTTGCGGAGCCATAGGCTAGTGATCTAAACTTGTAATGAAAGCTTTTACTAATATAAGGTAATACAATTTTCAGATCAATGGAGAGTTGCTTAGGATTAGAACAAAGTGATAAAATTCTGTCTTAGTAATATGTTGCTAGAAGAAATAATGTTTGGTGTGGTAAAACAATTTTTTCCCTATATGCCAATGATTGTAAACATAAAACAAGCAGTAGCACTGCCTATGTAGGGATGGCTCAGATTGTTCATCAAAACGGTATTTTAAATATCTCCTCAATAGATCATCAGAACTTTACAATACTATATAGTGTTAACTTTTATAACAATATCTATGTAATGACTGAGTCACAAGTTCTGGGAAAGTCTGTAAATAATCACAGTAAAAAATTTGAATTTCTTGTTCTACTCTCTGCTGCTGCTTTTTTATCATATGATAACTCAAAAACCAAAACACTGGTGTCAACCATTTTACTGAAGTGACATAGTTTCAGACGAAATATCCGCTTTTATAAGTATTATTAATAACTATTAGTAATTTTTGAAAAAGTCATAATTTAGTGTAAATAATGTTTTCATTATCCCTTCAAGTCAGCTTTCATACAGGGTTCAGTCTTAGGACCTTTGCACTTTTTGATTTACATCAATGACATAGATGAAGGAATAATGAATAAATTACTTAAATTTGCTGATGATATTAAGGTCTTGGGTGTTGCTAGCTGTGAAGAGGATGCTGCTGATTTACAAAAGGATTCAGACCATTTAGTGAGTTGGGCAAATAAATGGCAAATGGGTTTTAATTAGAATAAATTCAAGATAATGCATGTTGGTTATCACAATTTGAATTATAAGTATAATTTGGATGGTAATAACCTTACAGTGTTATGAAAGAAAAAGATCTTGATGTAGTTATTGATCAGCCACTTAAGCCAGTGTGCTGTTGCTAGCGGAAGGGCAAATAGGATTTTAGGTTATATCTACAGAAATATTAAATACATATCTAAAGAGGTTATAATTTCATTGTTTAAGTCACTGGTTAGGCCACATTTGGAATATTGTGTTCAGTCTTGAGCTCCTTACCTTAGGAAAGGGTTCAAAGAAGGGTTACTAGAATTGTACTTGGGATGGACGGGTTGTCGTACAAGGAGAGGTTGAAACCTCTCATGTTGTTTTCTCATCAAAAAAGAAGGTTAGTGGGGATCTGATTGAAGTGTTTAAGATTGTAAAGGGAATTGATAGTGTTAATGCATCATCTTTTTTCATACTTGACAGTGAGAATAGTATAGAGAATAGGGGAAATTTTGGCAGGGTAAGAGTCATCTTCAGCTAAGACAGTTTTATTTTTCTAACAGAGTGGTTGGCCTTTGGAATGAGTTCCCCTAGGATATTGTGGAGGCAGTAAATTTAAGTGAATTTAAGAGAAAGCTTAATAACTATATGAATGAAAAGGGCTGGCTTTAAGATTATTATTTTTTTCAACTTATTCATTAATAGTTTTAGTTTAGATTAGAGAATGGAACGGCTGAGATGGACCAATAGGTCCCATGTTATCCCAAAACATTGTTATTTTTAACATTTTACTATACTGTGTGCCTATGCTATTATGTAGGGATGATGCAAATGCCATTCCTACTGTCTTGTTTGCATTGTTTTTGAAGGATTCATTATAGTCATCCCTACGTTTACTTTCTTTTTTGAAAAGTTTTTCTTTACATGTTAAAACTCCAAACTTACATGTCAAAACAAAGATACAGTTTACAGTTTTGTAGACTAAGAAACCATTGAAAGGTTAACAAAATGTTAGAAAAACTCAAAATATTTATTGGTAATTTATGTCAACAACACAAGTTAGAATTTCTAATTGTTTGTTAAAAAACATATCACAATAAAAATCTTTTTGACTTTTCAAAGCTGGAAATTCATACAAATGTTACATACAGAAATAAAATATTTTGTTATGCAGAAGTTACATAATCTGTAGAAAGCTAATTTCAAGTTTCAAATTATTTAATCCAGTAGTTTTTCTTTTGCACTGCAATAAAACAAACTATACAACAGGTATGCTAAATCAACTGAATAAGTAAAAATAAGAAATAAAAGAAACTTGTAGTCATTCTGTCCTACATTTTGTTTAAATACTTCACAGTTGATATCTAAACAATAAAATTTTTACTTGCTGTGGTGTTACATGGATGAGAAAAGTTGGAGAATTGTGTTTGTTTGTCTGTTACATGATCACAGACTATTTCTGTAGCATACTTTTAACTTCTTCAAGGTTACATTTTCAAAGGAACAATAAAAATTTAGTTTATAATGTTACAGATTCTTTGGAAATTATAGTTAAATGCTGGTTAGAAATTAGTTTAAAATAAAATGAATAGATTAGATCTTTCTAAGTTTTTTTTTTTGTTTGTTTTATAGTTGGTAGAAATACCTCCAGGCATAGAGGACTGTTGGGAGGAGCTTTCATTTCCTGTGATATCTATGAACGCTACAAATCCCTTTCCAATGCTGGCATCAGATGACACTCAGAGCTTTTATGCATCAAATAATTCAAATATGACTGGAATGACTGTAGACACTCTGGAAAACCTGAACAATCATTACTCAGAGGTGCTACTACAGAATGCTACTTTGGGTCTACCAGCTCCTGACCTAACAGATCTTACCTATCCTGCTGCTTCTGTTCGTATGTATTGTGTACACAATTCACACTGTTCTAAAATAGATTGAAGTAAATAGCTTCCTTTGAGGCTGATTTTATGGTTATTGTTGTCTTTTGTTACTCAGTAAACTTCCAAATTACTTCTGATAATTCATAAAAGCTTTATAGTTCAGCTACATGTGAAAAAATAGTTATACAATTAATTGAATTTTCAGTGAAAATACTTAGAGTAATTGCCATGATTTTATAATAATGATTATTTACTAATTAAACCCATAATATCAAAGAGAACCTCTACTTAAAACAGGATGACAGAAAAACACCTTTTAGTTATTATATGGTACAAACTTAGGCCTATCAGTAGTATGCTCTAAAACCACATTTTTAACTGAATGTTTTGACTTCCATTAATGTAAGTAGTGCTTAATAGAACTGAATCATTCAAATGTATATAATATTAACTAGTGTACAATTTTCAAATTATTCTTGTATTTATGAAACTATTAATTAGTGGAAATAGTTTTAAAATGTAGTGATATAAAATCAGAAAGAAAAAAGACTAGACAGCAATTGTGGAAGAACCCAGAATACCATTTTCAACAATATATTTTTATTATTACTAGAAAATTAAATCCAACCTAAGTACAGGAGAGAGATGCAATTGTCTCTTTCTTTTAGCTCAGTAATACTTGTACTTTGGCTTTTACAAGAAATATTGTGGCCCAGTAAACTAATTTATGCTCTGGTTCAATTACTTTCCATGTATTAAGAAAACAATATCTAAGTTTGGTAGTATCGTAATAGCTCCATACCTGTTAACCTTACCTTCTCAAGCAGTTATCAGCTTTGGTAATCAAAAATTTCACTGCTATGACTGGAAAGATAGACCTATTTTAATTTAAAATTGTCAACTCCTACAACAATATAATACCATAGTTTAAAATAAAAACTTGTGTTACGAAGATTTTGTAGCCCTCGAGTATGATCTAAAGAGTGGATGTTTGTCCCCTCATGCCCCCAGTGGCACAGAGGTATGTCTGTGGACTTACAGTGCTAGAAACTGGATTTCGATACCTGGGATGGGCAGAGCACAGATAGCACATTGTGTAGCTTTGTGCTTAACTATAAACAAACTTGTCCTGTCATGATAAACAATTTGAGTAACCTTGTCTTAGCTCATTCTTGAGCTACATTAGAATCACTGTTATATACAAACTAGGAGTATCAGTTTGCTTGACTTCTAAAATTGTATCGTGCACATTATTGTTTCTTCTTTTTGTTCATAGATTTACATTTTAAGTTACTTTCTTTATCTATCTATACAAACACACAAACCCTATTAGTACACATCATCTTAGAATCTGTTGCTTTGCTTTTGGGTATAAACTGCTTGTCACACTATTGTTTTGGTAGTATAGTAGCTTTTGCTGTAGATATCACAGTACAAAATTAAGACAGTTCAGTGATGAGAATGGCATAGCCTGGTGGTTAAGGTGCTGAACTTGCAACCTGGTTAGAATCCCCATAACTGAACATGCTCACCCTTTCAGCTATGGGGGCATTATAATGTGACTGTCAATTCCACTATTCATTGGTAAAAGAGAGCCCAAGAGTTGGTGGTGTTCACTAGCTGCCTTTCCTCTAGTCTGTCACTGATAAATTAGGGATGACTAACTCAGATAACCCTCGTGTAGCTTTGCACACAATTCTAAACAAATCATTGATGAGAAAACTTAAAACTGTTTTTATAGTTTTCAGATTATGTGAGAAACTTTCATGAAATTATTTTCCAGTTTGAAATAATTTATTTATATAAATTTTTTTAGGGATATTACTGTTATAGTTTAATTAGCTTTCAGTGTTATAAATAGTTTAAATGTTTAACAAATGAAAGATACTAAAAAAATTTATTTTTTAAATAATGATATGGATGTTAAATAATTTATTATTAGGTATTGAAAAAAGAAGCTTTTATTACCTTTATGATGTTATATGCTTATTCAACAACATTATAAAACAATAAGACCTAAAATAATAATTTAGACTTTTTTGAATTGCCATGCATGTACACACACATACAATCTATAGAGATAGAGTGAAGTCCAGGAACTCCTTTGGTTATGAGAATTTTGATATTGGGAAAAAAGTTTTATGAATAATTAAAGGTACAGCCTAATTTCTCTGTTAACTTCAATTAAGTACAATTCCAAAAGCCATTAAGCAAAACTACGAAGAAAAATAAATTTCAGTTGTCACCTTGCTTATCATGTCAGATCAATCATCAGTTTTTGGAAAATAATTACTTAAAATAAATAGTTTAAAGTTATTATTTTTATGAAGTAAACATAAGCAAAGGGCAAAAGAAAAAATTTCTGAAATTGGCAATTTTTAACAGTCAGAAAGAGTTGTGTTATAACTTTGTTTTGGAGAAATATGATTAATTATCAACTATAAAAAGAAATAATTCAAAAAATATCTTGAATGTGTACTTATTTTGAGTTTTACATTTCACTCTCCTACTCCGTTATTCCTACCTGGAATAGAAAAAAACGTTATTGAAATAGCTGTTTTATTCTTGGCTTCATGCATAAATAAATCATATGAATAAGTATCTTGCTTGTAAATAAAACTTGTCTGTACAAAACTAAAAGTTTAATGCATAGACCAATCATTTCTGATCATATGGTCAAGTTGCTGTTATTTGTGGTGCTTCCAGCTTGATAATGATGATAAAAAGGCAGCAGGATTGTAGCTCAGTATAATATATATTGGAGAGAATTATAAAGAATATCTAGAGAAATAATAGCACATTGACCTCTTGGCAGTTTAGCAAGCATAGTATTGTAAATTTCTTTTTTTATTAACCCATCTTGCAAGAGTAGTAAAGTAACATATAATATGCTGAAGTATTTTAAATTATAATTTTTGTAATTGTTTACATGTCACAAAATGAAACATGCACTCGCATATTTACCAGTTGTATCAACCTGCAAACAAAATGGCTCTTAATAATTAGCTGTGTAAATATCTGAGATTTTTTTAGAAGTTTTGCATATAGAAGTAATATTATGTGATAATATATTCTTGTATTTTCTTTGTGGTTGTTTCAATACCAGTCTGTTGAATGATTTAACAAACATATACAGCACCATTTCCAAACTGATGGGATGTCGTTGATATCTCTTGATTTTTTATTTTTTTTTTCTCTATCATCCTAACCAAATTACATGAACTTTAGCAAAAACTTACTAGGTAATATGTAAAAGTGATATAATTTCATATAGTTTTTATATCATAAAGTTTTCAAACTTTTGTTGTAAAAATACTTCCTCTTGTCTCAGAATTTCACTTTTGAAACTTATAGTCAATTTCAACCTGATTTATTTTCATTAACATATTTCTTTTGAAACTTATTTTTGCCAGTTACAGTAATCCTTACTTCTGGCTATAAATTGTATGAAACACATCATAAGTTAACAAAAATTTGTTAATTAGTTGTTCCCATCCTTTTATGACCTCATAACATGTGATGTGAACAGAGGCCTGTGAAACAAAGAGTTGTTTAATTGTATTCTCAAGTGATAATAGTTCATTAACAAATAAAAAAAAAGTACACTTCGGGAAGGGCAGAAAAATCATAGAAAAATGAACATGTGCAGAAATGTAAGTATAAACATTATTTTTTATTTTTGAATTACAATAAGCAGATATTACAAAGTAAAAAAATGAATTGTACTATATTTTTGAAATTATTAATCTTACATAAATTTGTAAATCTGTTATACGGGTCTGCACTCATCATATGAAAGGTGCTCATTGGTCTTAATAGGGTTGAATAGAAAATCTGATTTTTATTGAGAAAGTTAAGGCAGTAATTTATTACATAATTTAAGTTATTTTTGTCTAGTTGAACATGTATAAAATGTTTGTGTTTTTTATTGTTGGTCATTTTTTTCAAGCATGTCTGTTTCGAAAGAAGATTTTTTATGGTTTAAGTATATTTTTACATTGTTGTAACTTTATTTTTGTCTGTTTTACGTAGTGTAATATTATCGTGCCAGTTGCTTTATACAATGGCACCTATAACTTGAACCATACCTTACCGGCAGTGTAATAATAATGCAAATATATTTTTCTTAATATACAGTGTATAATAGACCATGTAATTTTGAAACCTGTTTTCAGGTGATATATGTGGTGTTGGATCGTCAGTAGAAACTTCCCTGGACACTTTCACTAATGATGCTGAACCTTTGAGTGAAGGAATGATAGAATCAACATATGATCAAATATTGTCAGAGTTCTCATATCCAGGAAATTCTAGCATGTTTACCATAAACCATGATACAGAGCTATTATTAACAGATTTGTTGGCAGAAGATCTAAAGCTGATAGAAAAGGCTGATTCCACTGGAGGTTGTAGTTTAAGATTCCTTTCTGCTTCTTAAACAAATTATTATTATTTCTTATGAATAATTATTTATAAATATTTTATTTCATGCGGGTAATGGATGTTTTAAGAGTTATTTACACAGACATGTTTTAACTTGCATAAATTCCACCATAAAATTTCATTCCAGCATTGTGTAAAAAAAAATAAAAATTACTCAACCTTGTGAATATAATCAGATTTTTCAAATCCCGAGACAATAACTCACGCACACAGAGATGCTAGTTGAATCAAAGTGTGTACACGTCATATGATCTGGTTTCCGGCTGCCTATGATCACATTCCACTCATCCCTGCAAAACTTTACGCTGTTTTACCTCTCCAATTTTTCCATCTCAGATGAAGAATATACTCTAGTTGAGACAAGATACAGCCTCCTGTTGGAGTGTCCATGTCATTGGAATTTACACCTCTTGGGCTTCCCCTTTGAGCACGTTTTGAAGGGAGCTCATCTAGGTAAATTCTTGCACCAGTTGTTCCATCATTTCAATGTGGGAATCTAGTATTTCTGTGTGAAAAGGTGAGCTATTGTCATGTAAGTTAACATTTTCCTAATCTGAAAATGTATATCTGATAGATATATCTGCACTCATTCCAACCCAACCTCCCCAACTCTGCACCTGTTTTTTCATTACCTAATATAAGAATGAAGTTATCACAGGTGCAAGTGCATAGGGGGAGTTACTGCACATGGAGTTTGTTTTGCCATGGTATTGGTGGAGGGCTATTGTCACATGATGACATCATCATGCACAGGTGCAGTTGATGCTAAATAAATGAATTTAGGTAAAAGCTCGAGGCTAGTGACATGCAAGGGAAATACCATTTGTGTGTGTGTGAGGAGGTGAGTATTTATTGGAAATACATTTTCAGATAAGGAAAATGTTAACTTTTAATAGGCATAGTTTACTGTACAAACTAAAGCTGAGGGGAATTTGGTTCAGCATTGCTTAAGAAGCGGTCCTGACAATGATAACAGTTGTTGGTATTTTTAGGAAGAATATTTGTAAAATCAATTTGGGTGTATTACTTTTGGTAATCAGTAAAGCTCTGTAAATATATATTTTAGCCACCAAAGGACATAAATAACTGGAAAATGCAAACATAAAGTATGCATACTCAGTGTTCATAAAAATGTAAAATTTATTAAGAATAAATCAGAAATGTAATTAAAATGGAATCAGTTTTTGTTTCAACATTATAATAAGCAGGAAATTTATGTTTCTGTTAATTATTTTGCACTTCCCTAATTTTTATATTATTGTTTTTGTCTTTGGAGACATAATTAAATTAGAATTGCATTAATTTACTAATAAGAATATTAGACAGAAAATTATATTAAAATTAAGATTCTTCTCTATCAAAACTTTGTAATTAAAAAGCCTCTTTATAAAGAAAATTTAACAAACACCGTTAATTTTTTAAATCTTTAATAGTTTATTAAATAACATACAATATCTATTCATATGGATGCACATATTGTTATTGAATAAAGTATGAAAATTGTTTTTAATGTTTTATTAGCTGCTTCTATTAATTCATTTAATATAAAAAGATAGTCAAAAATCCTATTCTTTGAAAAATAGAACTATACAACTTTAATTTTTCTTTCAAATTATCATAATGCAAGTACAAAATGGTGTCACAACAATAGTAATGTACATTTTCATAATGAAACCATAGTACCACTGAGGCTAGCCTCATGCCATAATCCATAGGCACTGTGTCCAGCAGCTTGACCAGTTTGTCTTTATATGGAAATGCATGAATACCTATTTCATTCTCCAGCTGCTTGAGGCATGCAGCAGTTAAATGATTATATTGTGAAAGCAATTTGTATACACATAACTTGTATCGTTTTTCTAAATTGAGATCCTTCCTCATTATGTTGTATGGGACATTTGGACAGCTTTTGTCACTGGCCTTTGTGTCTGTGGTTTTTCACCTGTTACAAGATGCTGTGCTTTGCTTACCACAGCTGTGGTAAGACTTGTTGTGAACCTCTTTCTGGAGAGTCATGCCCCTCAGTTGATCCATATTTCATTGTTTTCTAATACTGTTAAGTAAAAGGGATATCCCTGTCTTAAAAATTCTAAATTCTTGATCAGAACACATCTTTGTGATCTGAGTGTATGAATATTTTGTGTTAGAAAGAGCTGTTATATACCCTTCTCAAAAGCAATCAGTTTTTGATAGCATCACATTACCTTCAAAAAGCCAAACAATGTCAAAATGTAATTTTGATACATGCCATTCCACTGTAACTTTGTTGCAGTTTTGATTGTCATGTGACTTGCTGATTTGCATATTCAAAATCATTCTAATGTAACTTGGTATTATTATACTTTCACAAACAAGTAATGAAAAATAAGCAATAGTTTGTTGTAGCAAGTGCTGGTATATTAGCTTGTGTACTATGAAAAAAACACTTTTTTTGATCAGCATCGTAAACTATTTATTGTTGGAAATCATTGATGTAGATATTATAATTTACTTAAATGAAGAAATACTGTCATACAAGCTTATCAACTTAGGCATTTACTTTAAACAACTAAGCAACAAATATATATCGCTTTAGTCAGAAATAGTACATGTTTGTTCAGTTGTTTTACCTTTTGCTGTATGTGAATATCTGTTTCTTGTTCCTAACAGCTGCTGTATTTAACACACCAGTAAATGTTAGGGAAGAGAAATTTGATGCTAACAGTGATTCAGCTGTGTCATCAATGGGCTCTGACTGTGTACCATCTGTGCCTGATGGAGTAAGTAATCATAATTATTTTCACTTGTTAGACTGACATTGTAATGTAGTAATATTATTATTGTATATGTATTTTGTTTCTTTAAATTGATGTTTATTTAATATTTCATTTGTGTGATAATCCAAGTTATTTAGAATGGATATTTTTTAACTGTAGAAGTTAAACATCTTTCAACTACTACCATCATAGCTCTGTTACATGTTATAAATTAGTGTGTTTCTTTAGATCTGTCATCTTAGAGAGGCTCATTCAACGATCTGCTGTACATCATTATTTCTTTAGTTTTTGTTATCAGATTCATTAGGTAGATCTGTTTCTTCAACTCTTTCATAGAGGGCACTATCCTGTCTTTCTGACTTACCTAATACAATGAGTGCATTGTACATCAGTGTCTACTATTCAGTTTTTTCATGTGGGGTTTGCCCCATCTTACTTGTCTGTGTGTTTGTATAGAGAGAGCAGGTACGTGTAGCTTTTACCTTGGCACATCATTTTACAAAACCAAGGGTTAGGAAAATCAAGAAGTTCTATAAGCAATATAATCAAATCCTAAGAATGAGATGTTCTCTACATCCTTTCACTGCTGCTACTTTTATGTTTTTTGCTCTTCTTTTTTGTTGTTTTATGGTGAATAACAGTTTGACTTATCTGGTTAACTGGGCTGACAGTGACTGTTAGGATGGTTTGATTTCTCCCAGTCTTATTTTTGTGTGTTTATATTTCCAGTAACTCTACAAAACCTTGTAAACACAGCTCTAGCCATACAGATTAGCATCTACAATCTCTGGTGATCTTGAGATGATGGCACTGCAACATATGCTTCTCATCTACCAAAGTTTTATTTATTTTTTACAGTTAACAGTCACTGAAATACAGTGTACTAACTGTATCAAAAATGTAACAGGTAAGGTACGACTGAGCTCATAAAGCATACAGATACCATGGTGCCGTACACATTGTATCAAATATAGCAGTAGTAAATAACATAATTTTGAGGTAACATTGGAAAAAGATACTGAACTTACAGTGCACAGAATATGTTACATATTTGAATAAAACAAAAAGAAAACCATATGCACTGTTTTTTGATATATTGTAAAATACTTTCTTTTTGGACATTGAAGATAGCTCAGTTACTTATTTTTTATTCTTATATTTCCATTATTAAATATTCTCAGGAATGGATAGAATCGTCTTCAGAGGCATCCTCGCACCATGATGATAAGGAAATTTCTATCCAAATGGAATTAAACCACTCTTTGGTTCTTTCATCAGAGATGGACAAAAGAGTGCCTCTTACACATTTTTCTGAAATACAGTATCCACCAGTAGCTCAGAAAAAATATAAATTGTTTGGTCGTCAACCACAAAACTATAAAAATGAGGTATGTTCCAAATCTGAAGAGCAGCTTATCTTTATTTACTTCACAATTCCTTTTATTGATCAAATCATTTTGATAATGTTATTAATCTGGTAGACCATCAGTCATTTTTGATCAAAGCAAGCTATCTAAATAGAAATAAAAGTTAACCCAGTAAATAATTTAGAAAATTTAATATTCCACTATGATTGGGTGAATGTAGTGTAAGAAAAAAACTTTTTATGATTAGAATAAATGTTCATGTGTTATGTACCCTCGTCATCATCGATAATTTTGCCTGTATTCCCAATAATATTGCACAAGGTTTGGCTAGTTTGGAAATTTTAAAATTAATCTTAAATCCACGATGCAAAATAATGTTCATAATAGAAACCTATGTATAAATAAAAAATAAAAATAGATGTATTGTCACTTATTGGAACTTCAAATGATCTGAAATTGAGTTAACTGATAATTTAAATTTAGTACTGAAATAATACTTTGGATTTAGTATTTAAATAAATGCCAATATATAGTCAGTTTGTAATATTTGCCAACAAGATTGATACACAGTTTTTTTTTTTAACACAAATATGTTTTAATATACACACAACAGTGCAATTTACAATAACAATTATTACAAATAGTTATTACAAACAAAGATTTATAAGCAAAGGTTTCACAAACTTACAAACAATATAAAGTCTTCTTTCTAGTCTAGAACTTCCTTGATATGTTATCGAGGGTTCACAATGAGCGATTTAATTACGAGTTGATGTAGGTACAATTTGCTTAACAGGAAGCTAGCTAGCTTTGTCCTTCACTGATCACATTCCGATTTTTCCACCAGTGACGATCCACTGAAGTTAAATAATTTGTAATGTTCAAACTTTGTAAAGGTTCCTGGTCTAATATCTGAAGTTTTCCGATTGGTAAGCATTATAACAATCACAGTTATAGCTTCCGAAGTTTTACAGCATACTGATTATAGCTAACAAGGCTGTTGTTTTGTTTTTTAGGCCATGTCTGCATTTAGCCTTACTGGCTTAAGTAACTACTTGAATGGGGAAAGAAAATCACAGAAATGTAAAAAATAATATACATATATATATATATAATATATAAAAAGGTATATAAAATTAACAGTTTTATATAAGCATGAAAACTTTTCTGGAAAGTTTTATACAAATGTAGGAAGTCATAAAAAATCAGTAATTGAAATTTACAATAGCATTTTTGAATTTTTATAGCTGCAAATTCACACATATAGCACCTACCAGAATAAACTTTTATTTTGCCAATGCCTTACAATCTGTAATAAAAACAAATAAACAGAGAAAGCAAGAAGTTAATTTCAAGTTTCAAACAGTTTAATCTACTAGGGTTTTTTTACAATGCAATAAAACAACAAATAATAGAACAGATGTTAAAAGGGTTAAAAATGTGTTACACTTTTATATTCAAAACTCTGATTACATGATTTTATCTCAGCTTAACATCAGAAATAACGAGATGATAACTGGTTTGTGTGCAATTTCTTTCAAAAAAATTTGAAGAGTGATTTCAGCCTGTCATCACACATGTCTTAACAGTATCATTAGTCAACATCTCAGGAAATACAATGTCAGCATGGTAGATGTATTAAAAAGCTTTAGAAACTTTATTATAACATATGAAATTTAACATACATTTCTTTAAATCTATCTCTGTAGTATGCTTATTTTATGATTAGTTTTAATTTATTTAAAGCAATTTTAAATTAGACTCAGCATGCTTTCTTTACACAACAGTGCTCTTTTCCATGTTTATCAGTAAAGTAGCATTTTCCTTGAATATGGTTTTTACCGTTACTTTATTTAAAAGTACCCCAGAGCATGCTGCTTTAGGCAGATATTGAATGTTCTACACAGATACATTTTATTTTAGAATGTTCTTTCAAGTACAAGATAAATGAATTGAACTTAAATATGGCACATATCTTTTTCCATTATGACCTTTTGATAGTTTATTCCTCATAGTTTCTTGCTTTGTTTAGTAAAAAATTAAACTTGTGTAGAAACTTATACTGTTGAATGGAGATGTTTATTTTTTATTCCTAAGTTATTATTAGGTGATTTTGTACTTATAACTGTTAGCAGTATTGATTGTGATGGCATTTCATATATTGTGTCAGTAGTTTTTATAAATGTTTTTCATTCAACCAAATTCTCATTCTTTGGCATAATTTTAAAGTTAATATTGAATTATATAATTGAGATTTAACCATGTGGCATTTCTGAGACACGTGTTGTAACTTGTGTAATGTTATGTTATAGGATTGTGGAAGTGATTTTGGAGACTTAGGCCAAAAAGAACAACCATTCAAGAATATTCAGCAATTAACAGGAAATGGTCATGCTGGCAGTGACACAAGTAGCCCACATCCTTACACTTCAACAGAAGTAACACCAAACCAAGAACATAATGACAGTTGTTCTGGTAGTAGTTCTGTAAACTCAGTGAGAAGCAGCTACCCCAAATCTTTCCACCACAACCATACTTACCATTTGCCACTGAATGGAAGTGATTGTTCCCAAAAACCTATTATGAGGGACAAGCTTAAGGCCCAACTTGAGGAGCAGGATCAGAGATCAAGAGATGAAAAAAATGTAAAAGCTATGAAGTTACCCTTTTCTGTAACTGAAATTATCAACCTTCCCATAGATGAATTTAATGAAAAGATTTCCAAGTATAATCTGACTGAACCACAGTTATCATTAATTAAGGATATTCGTAGAAGGGGCAAAAATAAAGTAAGTATTACTATCTTACAATTTCAACAACTGAGTCTCTTCATAGAAATGTTTTCCAACTACAAATTGTTAATGAAATGCTGGTGAATACACTTGTTTGCTTCTGTTAATTTGTACAGGGAATTAAACTAATTAAAATAAGTCGTTGATCATTGTGCTATTTTTACAAATTATATTGTGAGAGAATGGATCGATTTATTACAAACAAAAGGAAATCAGAAAGTGAATCAACTGATAAAGGTGAGAGTTCTCGAAACAAGCACGTCAAAGTGGGAAACAGGCAATATCATGAAAGTTACATTAAATATGGATTTTCATCACCTGGAGACCATTCTCATCCATTGCCTGAATGTGTCGTGTGAGACTTTGGAATGGAGCCAAGTAAGCTAAAATGGCATCTAGAATCTAAACATACATCTCCAGTTGAAAAAGATGTGAATTATTTCAAGCTCTTGCTAGAAGGTAAGATAAAGCAAACAAGTCTTATGACCAGGAGTGTAAAGGTTTCAGACAATGCACAGAAGGCAAGTTATGTAGTAGCTCAGCTCAAGTGCAAAATCAGCATATTTTGCTGATATACCTGGTGTACTGAATATGTTAAATCTTGAAATGTAAGGCAAAGGTGAAAATATCCTCACCGTCTCTGATAAGCTGAATGGCTTTAATGCTGAATTATGTTTGTGGAGAAGAAGACTGAGAATTGGTCATTTGGATATGTTTCCAAGTGTTGCACAGATATATCCAGCAGTCAAGGTGAAAAAAGCTATTGAACAGCATCTAGTAATGCTTCAGGATAGCTTGAAATGTTGTTTTCCATCATTAGAAATTAGTAATTTTGACTGGATGTTACATATCGAGAATTTGAAATAATCCAAGGCCACGTTAAATAATTTAACTTTTAATAGTTGAGACATACCTTGAATTTAGGTTTAGAAATAGTCCAGTATTTTATTTTATTTACGCTATTCGCCATCAAGATTGATTCACACAGTTTTTGGTTTTGACAGATAGCCTAAAACCATCTTCCTAGTTCGGAGTCTCCTTGATCTCCAGCGAGTTGTACGTACATATAAAATTTGGCGGGAAGCTAGCTAGCTTTGTTAGGCACTGAATTATTGGACCGTTAAAGTAAGATAATATTTTCACAAAATCAGTAATGTCCGATGAGAAATTAGTAATATTCTTGGAGAGGTATTGACGTTTGATGGGAATTCACTGACATTCGAGATTTATATATGTTCCTGGTCAAATGTCATATATTTTCCGGTTGATAGGGGTTAGCAAAATCACAGTTTATAGCTTACATCGTTATAACAGTTTCATAGTAGGCCTGCCTGTTCTCTGTTGCTTTTATAGGCCAATAATATTTTCTAGAAACTTCTGATATATCGGTTCCGGAAGTTGATTCTTTGTTCACGAATGTTCTATAATCTTGGAGAAATGGCGGGAGTTTCGCCATACATAACTAACACGGTAAGCCGTACACAGCCTCCAATATAAACTTATTCAAAATAAACATTGACATTAAAATATATATATATATATATATATATATACCACTAATTCATTATACGCATCACATATCTG